CGAATATTCGTGTACCATAAAATAAAGCTCCGGAAAATTCCGAATGTGTTTTAGAAAATAAACTCCTATAAACACCCTTCGAATTCGCTGAAAGTAAAACCCCGAAAACGCAGAATCATACTTATAAACCTCGGCTTTGAGTTTTGATACTAGTATTTAAGACAATTTTTCAGTTCAAATCTGATTTATTGCAATAATATATATCTTTAATAGAGTCGAATAATATTATTCCTCTAAAACGACTCTTCTAATTGAAGCGGCACCAACCTGCAGGTATAAACCTTGCCACGAAACCAACTTGCGGAAACGTACCGTTTTGCCGATTTGAGCGTGCTGATGTGGGTTTTACGTTTCCTGGCGAAAATCAAACAAAAAAGGGGGAATTCGGATCATGCCACTAGAAAAGCATATGACTGGGACGGAAAGATTATAAGGAAAATAAAAATGTGTTTTTTAATAAAACAGCCTCAAAATATGAAAAAAAAAATATTTTTATGAAGTTTAAACATTAATATAAAATAATTCGTGAATATAAATCAAACAAAAGTAATATCAGCCTTTAGGTCATAAATAGGACTACACCAGGACAGTATTTGGTAAGCGCTAATTAAAAATAATATGGAAATACATGGCTCCCAATATGTCACCCGAATGTCAAAGGTACAATTTTGGCAATGGAATTTGGCTTATTTGTCAAGTGCATTACAAAAAGTACTGGACCTACAATAAATTTACACGAAACATTTTTATAAATATTTTATACTTTTCAGTAGGCATAACGAGTAACAGAACTTCGTAGAAAAAGCAGACACACAAAATTTGATTTTCATCTTGCTCCACCTAATATTTACTCGTAAAACCGAAAACATTTTTCTAAGCGTATTTGTTCTTCTTAAACATGGGGCTATTATATATATTTAATAGAGAAAAATCAAAATACTCATCCCGACCAGTGTGTTCTATTTGAAATGAAACGAGCCAGGTATTGACGCTTCTTAACTCTAATGAAAGCAGCATTTCAGGATGAAAGTGTGCCGTTCTCTGGGAACATTTGTGTAAGTGTTTTCAGAATATTTCAATATTTATTTTAAGCGGCTGATATTTTCATAGGTCGATATGCATTAGCTTTGACATGCATTAGGGCAATTAAAGCATATATTAATTTACATTTAAAATGCAGGGGAGGTTGCCCTACTTGGAAAAAACACAGTTTAGTTTACATCCATCATCAAGAGCGTTTCAGTGAGTTGTGCGTGAACATGTGATTAAATTTGGAACAAATTTTTGGATTTGAGGCCCATCGAATCAATTGCTAATGAATCTGCCATATCTAGTAAAATATGAGATAAAATATATTTAGAAAGAAGTGATTTAAATCTGATTTAAATCAAATACATCCTAGTTTTTCGTTACTATAGAAAACATGTTTTCTTTTTTCCACCCTGCAGAGCAGCAATTTGTTAAAATAAATGCATGTGTGCAGCTCAAATTTCACGTCTAATTCCTGTGTAATTGAAATTGTTGGCAAGATCGAATACGATGCGAAATTATTTAAGATTAAATTAGCGGAAGCATTTGTACATAGTGCGACACACTTACCAAGCAGAGCACAAGCAATCGCCTTTTTTTTTTTTTTCCACTTTCTTAAACGAAAGGCTGCTTTCACAGCTACTAAATGTGGTGGAATGTGGCAATCGTGACACAAATTTAGGCGATCAAATTCGACGTTTGTCAAAGCTCCTGTCGGAACAAGATGCGAAATAGCTCCGGTACCTAACGGTTTCGCGCAGTGTAAAAATAGTCTAGTTCATTTTTTTTTTGTAGCGTTCAATAAAAAGCGTTTACGCCATTTACTGAGCGGCGCACGTCAGAGACCGGTCTGGTAAGGGGAAGCGGTGACGTCAACGAAAGTGAGTCACCCTCGCTGACTCAGAAAAATCGAAGAGGTACTGGAACGGCGCTCGGCCGGTGCTTGTCCCGGCGCGCATGTCGTGGCATAGTGACAAGCTTCGATTTCTTTCGAAACCCAAATGACGCGCATACTTGTAACAGGGTTCACATCCAAGCAGCACACCAGTATTGGCCCCCGCCGAACTTTGGTACAATGCTGGAATAACTGAATTTCAATACTGGACCCAACATTGGAGCGCAACCCACTCCAATGTTGGGCCAATGAGAATTCCAAGATTGGAACCTTTCTTGGTTTATACATAACCAAGAAACAGGAAACAATAATAATAAAAAAAGAAAGACTGAGATGATCTAGGGAAGCTGACAATTAATAAGTACATTTGACTCGTGTAAAGATTAATATACCTAAGGCTCCCCACCCAGCGGATAGTGTGGTTGCGTCTCTATGCAACCTCCACCCGGTTGCGAGGTGCATCTGTTGTGCGGGAACGGAATTTTAGAGCTTTAGTCTGACGTCGCTACTCTGGAGGAAGTGGAAAGATATCTTCTCGAAAACGATTTCCCCGCTCCATTGTTGCAGCCAAAATTAGTGCGAGTATAACTCACACGAGTCGGAAAGTAATATAATAGAAGTGCATATATATAAAAAAATAAAATATCGTACTGATTTTTTTATTTTTTTTTTTTATTTTGGCAACTAATAAAATTATGATTGGCAATGAGCCCAAGTGCAATTTTTCAAAGTGGCGTGAGAGAAACTGCCCTCATCACATGCGTCAAAGACCAACAGACAAACAAACAAACAAACGAGCAAATAAACACACACCTGGTGAGCTTTGTTCTCCGAATGCAGATTATAACCGAATTAGAATGAACGTTGAAATGATTTTCAATGTGTCAGTACATAGCTGGAACACGAAGTAGATAAATATATACCCATTCAGGACAATCGACCGGACCTATAAACTTTCTTATATATATATATATATATATATATATATATATATATATATATATATATATATATATATATATATATAAGAGAGTCTATAGAGAAAGCTCTGACATCGTTATCAACATACTCATAAACACTGGGTGTAATGTACAGTTTTATGCGTAACGCGTAGCCTTAGAGACGCACTTTTGTTGTGCCTGCCTCAAATTCTGTTTCTTGTTTTGTGTGTGTGTGTGTGGTGAGAACGCGTTTATCAGTTTATACGTAATGTGAAAATATTCTAAACTCATTACCCGTGGCGATATTTTCTAAAATTCGGATTGACTTTTTTATTCTTGTGTATGTAATAATGCTAAAGAATTGATCATCTAAATGCCAAATAAAAAAAACATTAAAGGGCCCGTAGTTCATTATTCTACATAAAATTATCTTAGTGAAAAAAAGCCGCCCAGAATACACAAAAAGGTATTAAAAGGGCACTGACACCCCCCAAAATTATTATTATTATTTTTTTTGCCAGGCGATTTATTATGGTGTCAGAAGACTACCGAATCAATACTGGACTGGGGAGGAAGAGAGAGGTGGCGGAAGTCACGTGGCTGTGATAATTTTTTCCCCTATCAACGTATTTGCAGCTTTTCAGAAGCCACAAAAAATGGGTACTATATTTCCTTTCCATATTTAATATTGTGTGTGTGCCTTCGATGATCCACGACTTTGCTTATATCCATGTACCGAAAGTAAATAGACTCCAAAGCAGAAGTTAGTTTCGGTTTCGCTTCTCACTTCAAATCCGTCTAAAGGTGCCAATACTGCGCTAAACACCTTTATTTATTTTTTTTTTTCGGAAGAAAGAGGTGACCTGCTTACGTACTGATCTAGCTATAATTTGTGTCGCTCAGTGAAGCCAGCACACCAGACAGGCTCAGCAGCTCAGAAACTGCAGCACGTATCTCCGACCGTCACTAATCTCCGCCATATTGAAAAACGAGAAGTCGAGACTCCAGCGGCCACGGTCATGGTGGTCGCGGAGATCGCCCCGCTCGTCTCGCTTGTCCTAGGCCGCGTTCCAAAATTTACTCGATCTTACTCTCCAGGGTGAGGGTTTTGTACCTCGGCGTTCCAAAAGCTACCCGCGTCCAGCGCTTTTCAATCTGCTGTCACGTGACGCGACCCGCCGGAGTAATTGGATAAGATTTGGAACCCAGCCATAGAGTTCCCAGGTCCGGACCACTGATCATTGGTACAGACCGATTGCCACATCTACCGAGAATCAAAAAGAACTACATAGAAAAGCAAGAAAACAAAATATCGCTGCGGTGTCTAGCTTTTTTATGTTCCACTTTCTTTCCTAGGCGACTTCAGACCCTTCAGACGTTTCAGAACGGAAAGTGTAATCGCATCGTTAAACATATCTAATCTGTGAAGGAGGTCAAAGAAAAACGAGTGAGAAATAGTTAAACTTGAGGAAGAAAACGAGAAAGGACGGACAAACACAAACTTCCAAGTTATCCACTGGAGTTCGTAGGCGCTCGCAGAGCCTGGGAGTTCGCGTTCGGGCTTGCTGGCGCCATCTATTGGGGGTCCCGACAGGTTCGCCCATTGTTTACATTTCACCCAGTCGACTGCCACTTCAGAAACGTTAGGAAAACCGTCGCTGAGCTTTTATATTGCTATATTTAAAGAAAATTTGCTTACCCCCATTGTTGGCTTACCCTTAGTGGTGCGACCAGTGCGGCTTCGAGCAGTATTCATTCATTAGCAATGTTTATTTTGTAAAGAGGGGAGGAGTGACAAGTTCGCTCTTACGGGGCGAACTTGTCACTGACATATGGGAATGGGATGAAAGTGGATAGAGAAGGAGGGAGAGGGGAGGATTGCCAAAGGGCCAAAGCCAAAGGTCGAGTGTCCTTCGGTGTGTGGGCCAGCCGCGAGGGAGGGAGAGAGAAGGGGGATATATTTGCGAATGAAGGGAGTACAGTCTGAACGGTAGAATTACAGTTGCCTAAAGAGTTCACTGTAGTAGAATTAAGGAGGAATCTTTTTGTGTAGGTCCTTTCTTCCTTCGACACATGGAACCGCATTGGTTGGGTCTGTCAAGTTATTTCCTCCAAAATTATGGTGAGCGCGTTGGTAACGATTAATACACCAGAAAGAATAAACGAAGGGGCGGACAAGACGAGACATCCGTACCTTTGTTTATTCTTTCTTGTGTATAAATTTATTTCCTCCATGCGCGGACAAATGCTAGCAATGTTCGTTACATCCGCTAAAAGCATTCATGGAGATTCGGATGAGAGCGCACGGAGCATAACATTGGCCCATTGTTATTTATGATGACGGAATCTGTAAAGTTGCTCATGGCAACTTTACAGATTTTTCTCAGCGGGATGGTAGCATTTGTAGGGTTTGTTTTCGCAGAGAGGGGCAAACTAACAGAGAGCACATACCTAAAATGTTGAAAGATAATGAGAAAGCAACTAGAATATCCTTGTCCTTTTTGTTGCTTCCCCTTTATCTCTTGTAAAATCACCAACAGGCTCTATCGTCCGGTAAAACCCAACACGTCCTTTGGTTAAACTATCGTCTGGTTCGTCAAAACGCAGTTTCAACAAGAATGCTTCAGAGTGGGAGATCGTGCTGACACTCAAGCATTCATTTGAGACCCGCGTATCGAGCAAAGCAAAAAATACTGCTTGCGATTGCCAGTAGAGAAAAGCAGGCTTTTGTTTTAGACGTTCAGGTTTATGGAAATCATGTACATACACCATTCGAAAACCACGCTCCCTTGAGCAATCAAAACATACACGATTTATCCGGCCCACCCAAAAGACCAAAGATGATTCACCGATATATTCTTCGCGCCGTGCTTGACATAGTTACCGTGGTTACTGCGCGAAACTAAAGCCCCTTCCTGCCGCTACGCTCTCCAGCAGCGGGCTCTGTGAAGAGCACGGCGTCCTACCCACGAGCGATTGAGGGGAACGCCATGCTCTTTCCAAAGCGCGTTGCGCGGCTGTGCAGCAAAGCGTAAGCATACAGCGTGCATTGCACCAAGGGGCTTCACGTGAAAACATATGACAAGGTTGCATCACCTAGCAACGGCGTACGCCGCATCGTGTCATCACGTGCAGCGCGCTTTACCTCTTGGCGTAATTGAGCACGTACTCTCGCACTTTGGCCCTAAAGCCTTCCCTGTCTCTCTGGTAGTGCTCGGCGGCTTCGTTGTCCAGAGGATCGTCGAAGTTGAGCAAGTCTGTGAAGAGCGCGTTGAGTCCCCAGACTATCTCCTTGAGTGTCCGCGTCGGCGCCCAGCCCATGCCGTCGATGGAGCTCTCTCGCAGCAGGCTGAGGCAGACGTTGCCCTCCTCGTTGATGTTGGGGTGCCAAAGCCGAGTAGTGCACTTCACCTGCGGCGGGACCATATTGTACTCCTCGGGCACCTGGACGAGGAACACAAAGCGACCGCCCTGCCAGTAGCCTTCTTCGGGCGTGATGATGAGCTCGAAGCGGTGCAGCACGTCCGGATCGTCAAACTTGAGTGTGCACGTGCCGGGCAGGTTTGCCTCCATCTCCTGCACTTCTCGGACGAGCAGTTTGTCTCTCACCGAGGCCCTGCGCAGCGCCGCGACTCCCTCGGGCTGCACTAGGTTCGGCACGGCATCTGTGTTGTTGTTCTCGGCACTTTGCTTCAATTTTTTCGACAAGGTGATCATGTTGATCGCTCTCGCGCTTCCCGGCTTCGCTCCGCCCGAGCAAAAATAACGTCCTCCCCGCAGCGTCACGAGATCATGTTGGCGGCCTGTTGCCTGCACTACTGGGAGACACGCGATGTCGCAAAGGCGTATTTTCGAGCACGATATTGAACTTGTCCGCTAACCTCGCTGCATCAGGACGCCATGATGCCTCTTGCGTGCGGTATCGCTGGCGTCCCCAGCGCCACCAGCGGCAGGCTGGAGTAGGCTAAAGTTTCAAAACTACAGATCTTCAGACTTTTCAACCTTTAATATCACATCGCAGATATTATTACGGTAGATTCCAAATTTTCGTATGATATTAATAAATACCAATTAACAATTTGGAAGAGGGTGCGAAACCGAAACTGAAACGGCTAGGTTTGGTGACCTCAGTGGTTCGGCCGTAGTAATAAATCCGGTATGAAACTGGAGCCAGATGAGAACAGTAGAACATCTCTTTCGGATACCACTCGTTATCTGCCACGCTTTGGCTGCGCGTGCAAGCGCGAAACTCACTCTTGTGTAGCGATTTCCCGGGGGGGGGGGGGGGGGGGGGGGGGGGGGGGGGGGGTGTACACCCCCCAGTTTGTCTGGGGGCACCCCCTAAAACAAAAGTAACTACCTCCGTGCTACAACAAAATGAATTAATTACCATACACAGTATCCCTTAGGTGATCACCAGGGCTTAGGAAATACACAATAGGCACAAAATGAAGCATTTTATCTCCAAACATCATTGTTACTGCTTACCCCCACGTGTGCGGAAAGCAAGGACCTCGCGCTTGTAGCCTTCACTGTTTTACATGCTAGGATGAGACACGGTATAGTTGTTATCGCGACTAAAAAAAAAAAAAAAAAATGGGTATGTTTGTGTTGTCGAGCGCAATGCCAACGCCAAGTACAGCCTCTTCAACGCGCAAATTACGGAACGTACCTCCCGTGTGCATAAGTTGCGCACCAGATCGCGCGACCTGTCGGGCAAATACCATTGCAGTCTCAATTTGTCATAAGCTCAACACAAAAGAGCAGGTAAAATCCTTTATTTGATAAATAGTAGTATGAAACTTTTTTGCCAGCATATTACAACATGGATATAAAATAATTTATTAACAGAAAAAAAAAGAGGAGATTGGTGACCTAGAAATGTGCTTTTCCACTCGTAAAACAGGATTTTACACATAAAACAGCACAAAGTGCATAAAATGTCAACTACCTTGGCAAGCTCTACAAGTTAAGCAGGAACTTGAAGCATGCAAAATCGCATCCATATGGTAAAAAAAAAAAAAAAATTTTGTTGCATACTTTTTAAGGTTGTGGTTTTGGTAATAATCCATGTCTTCTTTTTTTTTTTTAAATAAAGATGAAAATGTAAGTGCAGAACCACTACACTATCCATATTACTTCTACACTTGTTGATAGGTTGAAAAAAGAAAAGCTGATACAGAAAGATTAAACGAGATAAGGAGAAATATCAAAATTTCAATTTGCTCTCAATAACCAATCAATTATGAACTGATAATGGACCTATCAAGATAGACACAGCAGCCAGCAACAAATGCATAAAAATAGGGTGCCAATTTTCCTCCTAGGATGCTGCTACTCCTTGGGGCACCTAATGCTGATATCGTAAAATCACAGAAAAAATGCCAAGAAATAGTGTGAACCAAAATTCTACAGTAGAACAGATAAAAGCTTGAGCCAGGAGACATTCCTTCAGACTCTAGAGCGAAGCAGAGAAAGAAGTACAGCGACACAAAATGACTATGTTGGCTTCCTAAGACATCAGCAAACGCTTTAAAGGGATACTACAACGAAATTTCGGCGCTCATTTCTTGGTCTATATGTGTTCAAAGGAGCAGCATCACATCGAGCATACCAATATCTTGTTAAAAAAGTCACGAAGAGGAATTTTAAAACGAATTAAACGATTAGCAAAGAGCACCTGGTGGATGTCGCTAACGCCTCGCTTGTAATGCCCGTCTAGGAACCTTGACAGCTAGTGACGGAGGTTGTCTCGCCTCCGGCCACGACGAGAGAGGAGGGGCAGGAGGAACTCCCCTCTTCCCGAGAATGCCTTTTGAGTGTCGCAGAAGTCGCTATTGTCCCCCTACAAGGTAACAGAAGATTAAACCGTCACCCAGAATTCGTACAAAAGCAGCCGCTTAGGTGGCTGGAACGACTAGGCCATCCTCTCGACGTCAGCCTTGGCGTAGCTTTGCTCGTCCTGAGACTACCTACGTCACAATTGCGTTGGATGTCACGTAGTCTCCGCTGGGCCTTCTCCGAGCGCTTGCCACAGTGGGCCGTTTATAACGAAAAATACAGCCACCAGGCTCAAAATACAAACGTGCGATTGTCATTTACGGATATTGTGGATCATATTCAACCTATTTTTGAACACTATGGGAATATCTCAAATTTCGTTGAAGTATCCCTTCAAGATAACATATATGAAATGTTTTAGAGGATAGAGGATAACGGCACTTATGGACCAAAAGCATTATTATCTTTTGGAACACAGGCCGGGACAGGGTTATCTGGATCATATGAAATGACAGCAAAATGAGGATGTTACTGCACTTCGAGGTCAATGGTGAATAGCACAAAGGTAACAGATTCTCTTTTCACCAAACGATTTGTGGGAATTTTCCTCTCTACTCCATTTCACCTCATGATGGACTGCAACGGATGCTACGAGCCACTGGACCCAATCCATAGCTCAGAGGGTGTCCGGGACCTTCTGATTGAGCAGAGCGACATATGGAACTTGACGTCACGTGGCACCATGGAGCAGTCGATTGGCTAACCTGGCTCATGGTGGCCACTGCAGTGCATCATACAGTGAAAGAGAGCATAGGTGAATGTCATGAGTGCATGCACAGAGTTCTTCAAGAAAACTGTCTATTAGCAAAAGAAGGCAAAAAGGTGCTCCCATGCTAAAAGAGCCCTAGGCCATCTAAAGGAATTCCCAGTACAGGGGCACGCCAGATGCAGTTGTTGGTTTGGCACACAAGCCCCTGAAATTTATTGTGAGCACATAGTTATTTTGAAATTGACTCGTACTGCATTTGCTAATCCTTTTGTGATCGAGATTTTGGCCCGACATGACCTTGAAAGTAAACATAATGCTTGCAGGGCGACTGCTCCCAAATCATGTTGGCCTCCGTTTAAAAAATATCCGCAAGAAAACCGGTACATCTAGATTAGGTGCAACAAAACCACAGCCTTAAGATGCTCTAGAAAAGGGGATCTCTGGATATAGATCACCAAACCGAACTGAGACTTCCTATACACCGACACTGTGCCAAAAAACATCACTATGTGCTGCTATGGGCTAAAGAAATACTGCACAGGGCTTTGCAGAAACCTAAAACGGTCACTAGCTTGCTTCACAACGGCCACTGGGCCTAGCCCTCCGACAGCCAGAAAAACTGACATAATAAATAAAATGACAGCAGCCCTAAGGCATAAATGCCCAGGCCGCCAGATCAGAGGGGAGACTGGTAAATTAAATGTGCCTATGTTCTACACCGGGCCTATCTACCAAATGACTCGCACATGAACACGCATATAAGACTGAATACAACCGGACAATCATTCTGAGCACAAACTGATTTGTGCGTTTTCGAGCAAACATTAGCAAAACATCGCTTTGGGTCGGCCTAAAAAAATATTACAATAAGAAGAACTCTCTTTATAGCGCTGCCATGCCTGCTCGAAGAGATTCATTTTGGAGCTGGCCTGAAGTTGAGTGCAATACTGTTGATGCAAAAGCGGAGCCGCGTCGGGAGTGGTCCGTCGTTGAAGACGTGTCCCAGGTGGGAGTTGCACTGCAATCGTGTTAGAAAAGAATTAATGCCATTCTAAATAATAAAATCAATAATCCCCGTTTTTAGTTAAAAATGGGGTTGTGCTTATAACCTCAAAACACTTCTTTCTCTACACTTACTTTCCCAATCATTTGGCAAATTAAATAAACGGCAACATACTACGATGTAAAAAGTGTCAACAATAAATGGAGTGATGTTGGCGGGATGTGATAGGCCGAATTAGCGAGGCTCTCTTGAAAACGGTCGTCAGATGATACGAGTTTGATCCACTTCAGCCTTCGTGCTTGGCACGTGCCGCACGCGTACACCACGTCTGCTCCACTGTTCACCAAGGTCGGGGTAGGTAGAGAAGAGCTAATCTTTGGGCAACAGGGGAGCTTGCACGGAGATGAAGCAAGGTGGTAGGAAGGCGGCGCAGCAACGGGCCTTGGAGCGTCAAGCGGCCAATTGACCTATCCGAACCGAGCATTCTGGAACACGATTCAGACACTCAGACGCTGTTCTGTCAGTGGCATGTTCTCTTGATGTGGAAGTTGGGGTCGGACTCAGTCTTCGACAGATACAACATTATGCTTCCTTCAAGTTTATAGATACATAAACACATTTTGTGCAATTTTTTTTTTCACACAAGAACAGGGTTTTTCAGGAAAAGCATGTTTTTGAGATATATTTTTCACATGTTTAAGAAGACTTTCAGACGAAAGGAGTACAAGGCATTAGGCTGTTGTTTGAATCTGAAAACTGTTCAGAGAAGGTCATTTCAATAATGTAGTGAATTGGTAGCTCATGTACGTTCGGGCTCAAGTGAAATGCAAACAGCAGAGTCTGTTGCTTTTGATACACGTGTCACTACCTGGAGGGCAACTGAGAACTCATAAAATGTGCAGTATCATTCCCATCTGTACTGCACCTTTGCACGAGTTCCCAGCGGTCCTCCAGATAGCACAGCATCTGTTAAAAGTCCCATGCTTTGTCAATGATATTTCGTTAGGGCCCAATAGTACTTTGTCTTGTTCCAATGTGATTTGTTACTGGTGCTTATCACCGCACCTTCATTTCTTGAAATATAGCTCATTTGGACTCAAGGGGAAATCAGGCAACAGAAAAGAAATGGGGTGAACTAATTTCTGATATACGGACCAGTGGTTCTCAAATGAGGGTCTGCGGACCCTTTGGGGCCACAAAGGCATTCAGGGGTCTGCAAAGCCTGTCTCATCAGTCAAGCCAGGCAATAAAAGTTGTATTTTTTTTTTACAAGAAAGAAACAGTCCAATTTTCATGTGAGTTTTCTTGTGCGTATGTCTACGAGAGAAGTCAACTTCACACTAGCCCTTAGTTTGTGGGCAACCTGAGGATCCAAACCATTGGACCAGGTTGCCCGCACGCTAAATCATCCGTGATCATTTTTACCAAGAGGAGGCGAAGTGCAATTGGCCACGCGAACGCCGCTCCGCCGCTGACAAGACTGTCGCAGCGTATGCGTGAGGAGCTTGGGATTGCGGAGTGGGCAATAAGTGCATTGTGTCATTCTCTGAGACAGGTAGCAGCAAGGGAAATTCTATAAGTTAGATTTACTTAATAAATCATTATCATAATTAACCTATACCTCCCTTCCCCTCACCATGATTGGGGTGCTCCATCATCTCCACTGATTCACAAGGGGTCCGCGAAACGTCAATGGTTGAGAACCACTGATACGTTAGCAAGTCTGGCTTCAGGGCGCTGCCATCTTGCTTGGTTAGGGTGTGCTTGGACGCATCATAATCCGATTACGAAGCCTTGCTAAGGCGTCATAATCAGATTATGGCCGCGCCCAAGTGCACCCCAACTGAGCAAGATGGCGGCGCACAGAGACCGGACTTGCAAACATGTATAGACCATGGCCACGACTTGAAATGAATTTCCAAGTCATTGGCCACCAGGTGCAAAAGAGTAAAGGTATTTTGAAAGAACAGCTCCAGATGAAACCTTACCCACTAATATGATAGAGCAGGGGTCTCCAAACACCAACCTGCGGTCCTTCAAATGAAGCTCGGCCTGCGGCTCGCTTCGCTAGCAGCACAAAAGTAATTGTGCATAAAGAAATGGCGCCGGGCATGCTTCAAATGCGCAAATTAAGATACCAGAAAGAATGAGAGAAACTGCATTGTAACGCAGGTCCTCTCGCCATACCAATAATTGAACATTGTCATCACCAGCATTACCATCTTTATTTCCCTGCTTCATGTCTAGGTAACTATTAAAATTTTATTGCGTTGTCATATACATGGCGCTAAGTGTCCTCCGTCACAACTATTGCATATTGTAAGCATTCATTTAATCATTCTGATTAGTCTTTTGCACTGTGCAGATGTGCCAAAGTTCCTATGCGTTTTGCTCTATGACTGGCGAGTTTTCTTGGCCACAGGTGTCGTGTAGTGTCATAATTAGCTAAATACAAAATTTCAAATTGAAGCATATCCATCTTAAGAGATTTTGGATACATACTTTAACATTACTTTATATCTTTAAATGGTTCTCTAGGTTTATTTATTTAGTTTTTCTTAGTTTATGATTACTCTTTCTTTCCCGGCCCTCGAGAATGTGACAGATCGCTAATCCGGCCCCGTAGCCAAAAATGACCGCATCTCCACGTGGTGAATGATGTTGATTGGGGCGAAGCTCTGGTGGTGCTGATGATACTGATTTTGTTCATAGGTAGTGCTGATAGTGCTGATATTTTTTTTTTATTGCTCATAGGTAGTGCTGAGTTCCGGGTTGCGTTTAGACTTCATTATTACAGCTTTATGGTCGGAGAAATGCAGAGACAGTGGTTCTTCTCATCCTTTTCATCCATGTCAGAAAGAGAATGTGTGGTATGGAACATGGTTATATACGCATTTGAGCATTTGACCGCAGCGCCCTCTTGTCTATAAACGTTGAGCCAATGCATGCAAAGTTTAAAGTGATTATAAATGCATTTGACCGCAGTGCCCTCTCCTTTATAGACGTTGAGCGGCTACATGCAACGTTTCATCCATGACATCCCCAGCTCTTTAGTTACTACCACATCTCAGAGCCCCCTACTCGTCCCGCAGTCGTGGCCGAGTGGTTAAGGTGATGGACTCCACTGGGGTCTCCCCGCACAGGTTCGAATCCTGTCGACTGCGCAAACATTTTTTCTTTTTTTAAGAAGACAGATGGGATGGCAATCGATGTGAGCACGGACGCTGGACGGACAAGGTTAGACCTTAAGGAGCTTCGCCCCTAAAAGTTTGGAGACCTCTGCTATAGGCACAAACCTTTCATTCACTGTAGTCAGGTGAGCCGGAAAAATGAGTACTTGCACGTCGTAAGCTGAACATTTAAATAAAAATATGATTTAGTGTTCTTGCCTTATTCAAAGCGGATCTCCATCAAGTAAAAACGAGGATGAAATCCTTCAAAATTTTAATGGGTGGTTCAACACCTGAACATTAACTCCCCTCACGCCATTTGTGGCCAGCACAACTCACCTTTTTGCAACACACTTCCGTTCGTGTCATACCATGTGAGGTGTCTTCTTTTCTAAGTATGTTCGACGGAGATTCATCCCCATCCACCGTTCCAAGTGCCATGAAGAATGAGGGCCATCCACAGTTGGAGACAAATTTGTGCTCGGAGCTGCAAAGAAACATGCCAGATGCCATAAATGTGGGGCAATGCTTTGACAGAGAAAGGTATGTGACTTGCGAACACTATACATACGGGTATAATATATGCAAAGATGGTGGTAAAACAGACTAGAAATGAAGGAGCGCCTAATTGGCATGCACTTACTGCCCGTAGGGCCTGCAAAGGGCATTACATAAGGGGGTCGGGGGGGATATTCAAGATTTACACAATAAAGAAATGCATAAAAAATACAAAAGCAAACATACTTAACACACTCAAGACTGCTCAGAATTACATAAATCATACAACTAGTAAGACGAAAAATGAAGTTTAATACGAGATAGAAAATTATTCGGGTCCAGAGTAGTGACAATGGATGATGGGAGGTTGTTCCAGTCACTGATGGCCTCAGAAAAATTGATTAAATGCGTTTGTAGAGCCTGAAATACGTTTGATGGCACACATGTTGTTAAGGTGCGAAAATGTTTGAACTAGGGGTGATATCAACTAATTTTTAAGGTCTGGAATGTGGTAGTAGATTTTATGAAGGCAGAGCTGAGAGACTTTCCTGCGGAGCTGCAAAGAGGGCACGGTTAATTGGTTTTTTAAGGCGGAAACACTAAGCACTGTTGAACTGCTTTGAGATTGTTAATTACTAGGCAAATCTGATGGGGATTCCGGAAGGTAGCAGCATATTCTAATTTAGGTCTGACATACGTGTCGTACACCAGCTTGCGGACAAGGGGAGGTGCAGATCGTAGTTTACATCTTATTAGACCAAGGGTTCTTGATGAGTCAGCAGTGATGGCTTTAATGTGACTATTCCAGGAGAGGTCTGGTGTCAGTCTTACGCCAAGAAATTTATAGATAGTAACAGTCTTAATTAAATTGGAGTTCAGGTAGTATTGGTAGGACAATACAGATTGTTTTCAAGTGAAGCGAATCAAGTTTGCATTTAGGTTTCTTTAGCAACATCAACCAGTCAATGCACCATTTGTTATTTTAAATAAGTCACTTTGAAGTTGATTTTTATCTTGCACACTTGTTACTTTGTTATGGACGACGCAGTCATCTGCAAAAAGACATATTTTAGAGAAAATAGTGCTAGGGAGGTCATATATATATGTTCCCTGTGGAACACCAGAAGACAGATTTGTTAGGGAGGATTCCTGGTCATTAATGGACGTTAGCTGGACGCGAGATGAGAGAGAGTCACATACTCATGCAAATGTGATTTGGTTGCTCATGCACAAATGAAGCTCACGTGACAGTGAGCTCCTGTTGGAAACTAGATGGCTGAATCGCACTCATTATAAACCAATGAACATTTTCAAAGTCCTAAGCATTTGATCCTATTTCTTCATGGGGGTCATTTTTCAGTGTATTCTTAGCAGCTGCAACAGTACCATCTATTTATTTAACTTGTTTAGAATGAATAGATTTCAAGTATGCAGTGCCAAGAAAAAACAAATCACGGGAGCTGAAAAATATATGCACTTATTGAGGGGTACCGGACATTTCATAGAACACCGTTTCATTGAATATAAGTGGACATCTTGTCGAACGCCGATTCATTGAATTGCTCGATGCCATTTTCACTGAATTCACTTCACCAAACTTTGGAGCATTATAGCGCTTTTAGATGCTTTAGTCTCGCTTATGAGTTGCTTTCACACTGTTGTTGAATCACCGGAAATAAAATTACTACCCTGGTCACCTTTTCGCCGAAAGTTTAGCTTTTGAAACATAGAACACAGCAAAACTTGAGTGGGTATGCGACTTACTTTTTTTACACAAGAAAAGCGACTGTTCTCCATTACCAGTGGCGTACCTACTTGTTTTTGAGTGGAGAGGCAAACCAGACCCCCCCCCCCCCCCCCCCCCCCCGGGCCGGGGGCCTGTGCCCTTGGTATCCCTTGGGCGCCGCCGGCCAGTGTTTGCCCTACCCAGTGGTGGCTGTTTCAGGAGGGGGGGGAAACAGATGCCTTGCCCCCCCACCCTGAGAACTGGGGGGGGGGCAAGCACCCCCCTTGCCCCCCCGGTTGGTACGCCCATGTGCACCACATAATTTGTTCCCTATTTGTCAATGCATGAAAGGTACATCCGGAAAGGAATATACCTATTCTTCGCTGTGCTTTTTTTATTTTGTATTTATGCATATACTAGTGTTTTCATTCTATCCTTCGAGAATAGCTTCCATTCTAAGAACGTAGGCTCAATTGCCAGCAGGTACACAGCTCTGTCGATTACTTAATATAAACAAAAAAGAGACACACCTTTTTTTTTTTCATGCGATATGGAGACATGTCATTGCTTCACGGAGGCTTCGTGCTTGAAACAGAATACATATCTTCAGGGACGTGGGTATACCCTTGAAGTGACATACCTTTGTCACCGCACTCAATGATCACAGGTTTCATAAAATTTCAAGGTGGTGTTCCCGTTTATTGTTGGCCACATTAACAGCACAAGTCATCAGTTACTAGGGGGGCAAAAATCAGGTGTAGGAGAAAAATTAAGTATCTCATTATTAGTTCCCCTTTCTGTAGGAAAAAAAGATAATCTCCTACCCTTCTGGTGTTAAAAAAATACCCTTTCCTTGTTCAAAAATTTTTACTGCTGAACTAGGCAGTGTTTGATAAAACGGCTTCGATCAAACGGCGTTCAATGAATTGGTGTTCGATGAAACAGGATTCAATGAAACGGCATTTTATTAAATGTCTGGACCCACTTATTGAGATATGGCTGTATATGTCAATGACAATATATATGAAAACAAAAGTAGGTACCAACGTGAAATGGTGTTTGTAATCAACTGTTGCATGATGTACTCATTCTGGGACTAAATAACATGTAGAGCCACAAAATTATCAGTGGTTTAGGGCACATTCGTACTTCATACATGCAGACAAAGGCAAGTTAGAGATCAGGAGAACCACTCAGTAATTCGGGCCTCATATGTGTACGCAAATGAACAATACCTTGTTTTCAGGAACTTACCTAAATAAATCTGCACCACAGGCAACACACGTGTAAGTTCCCTTAGCTTTGTGGTTGACCCATCTACCCCTATAAGCCTGCAAAAAGTGCAATATGAAGCAGCACAGTATTATTTCTTGTCCGCCCGTTTGCGCAACATGCACGGACACTGGAGCAAAATAACGCGTCTTATCCACGAGGCAGCCTGCACGAAGCGCTGCGGTTGTCAACATTCGAGACAATTTTCCCAACGTGAAAGTGTTGACGCGCGACATGCCTTGCGTTCAAACCACGCCCCATACAAAATCAACAGGCCGAGAAACCGGGCCTAGGGGTGTACCGCTCGCGCCAGAACGAAACTTGCTCGGTCTTGGTTCTGCGGAAGTCGGCGCAAATTCGCTAATCGCACCAGATCCATCACTTGCCCAACCCGCTCTGACAGTGGTGGGCGCACGAGCGGTGCAGCTTATCGGTCGCACCTAGCGGGGTTCGACACCGAGAAAAACGTATGTAAATCGAGACTCACGGGTTCCGTACCCCTTTGGCGACAGATATAAAACTGATCGGGTGTCAGCTTGTCCCTCCATTCCTTCTCGGTGATGTCCTTGGCATCGTCCTTTTGGTTCTCCATCCTGTCGGGCTCTGCGGAATAAGAGCGAAAGCGAAAATAATCAGAGCGGGACGGCGACGCGCCCGACCGCCTGCCAGCGAAACGTGAACCACGCCGACGCGTGCAGTCGGTTCGCTCTCGTCGATACGGCAGATCGCCGGCAACTTTCGTCGTCGACAGTTAAGCCGGACGGTGGCACCGCTTAGTAGCGTTCGAGTCTGGCCCCAAACCCGTTTTGGAGGGCCGTAGTGGCCGTAGTACCTGAGCGGTGAATACCTCGGGCTACAGGCCTATTACCGGATGGCCGAAGTGCTGGTACCGGCGGCTGCCCTAAAAAGGCATTCGGCCAGCTTGCCGCTCAATGGCTTCTTTGCGATGTTTCGGGCGCAACCTAGGACGAACATTCCATAATAACGTCTAACGACGTGTGGTCGTACAAAGAAGAACGGTTGTAATTTTCGTGCCGGATAATTTCCCGCTATCCCGTGACATTAGACAACGTTACAGGAGGCGTCGCATTAGATTTTGCCCTCGCCAAAGAATACACAACAAACAGAACGCGCAGACCAAGCAGACTACGCTCGTGACGTCAACATTGCGACGGGAGGCCCCCTGGTGGTAGAAACGACGGAGGACAACCCATTTTTTTTTCTTTTTTTTTTTTTCTTTTATGCGCGAAATGGGAACTTTGTTGCGCGCCAAGTACAAGTAGTGTTTTGCGAGCACAACAGGTCGCGCGATAGCCAGGATGAGAAATCATGTGTATGATGGCGATTTCATTCGCTTTTTACCCGAGAAGAGGAATAGTACTGAAATAAGAGACGCTGGTGTCTATGTCCTCTTTGTTTTCATTGTCTCAAGGTTTTTAATTATAATTATGCAGGGGGGAATTGTTGTTGTTGTTACACTTTACTAAGATAAGGATGGCGCGACGGCCTGGAGAGGACGGTTTAGAGGGGGCAGGGAGGAATAGATATGTATCTGTGCACAACCAAGGTGTTCTAAACATCATCCACAATTAATTTCTACTTCGGCTAGTCCGGCTAGTCGGTATCCTAAAACCTTCGACACTGTACCCAGGCACGTAGCCAGGGAAAGGGGGGGGGGGGGGGGGGTGAAGCCAGAAGTTCAGAACCCTAGGCCCCCCCCCCCCCCCCCCCCTTTCCGGGGCTACGTGCCTGCCCACATTTTACTCTAATGGTGAAGATAACTCAAATTGATGTCCAAATGGAATCCCGGAGAAAAGCTCACCGGTGAAAAGCTCACCGGAGAAAAACTCACAGGAGATAAGCTCACCGGAGAAAAGCTCACCGCAACACTGGCGGATGCGGAGAAAAGGTCACCGGCCATCGAGCGTATGCGGAGAAAAGCTCACCAATTTCTTTTTTTGCTTCTTTTTATATAGAGGCTGTTGGATCATGCGTAACATGTATAAAATTTATTATCATTAAAATTCGTCGGCTTTGTAAAAAAGAAACTGTCCTTTTTTGTAATATGTGTTAAGCTTATTAGGTATATTGCTCCCAAATTAATAATTGTGGGCGAGTGTTTTCTGTGGCAACGAAAGCCCGACTGAAAACTTTATGAACTTGAAGAACAGGAAAAAGTTCGAAAACTTAATAATGTCTGCCTAATTCCTAAAAATCAAAACTGTACATGCCGAAAATCCGAAAGTGCATGTGCAACATCGCGGTGCCTGAAATTCCCTTTGAAGCTTTTGTTAACATTTGAAAACAGGATAAAACAGTCAGTAGGATATCGAGGCTTCTTGCTTCCACGGATATGCACGTATTCTAGCCGTTCGTGCTGGCGTTTCCACATGTTGCCTTTTAACGATAGTGCCCTTCTACGGTGAGCCACCTATGACCTTCAGAGCTGCACACTGGCACCGTTGTTACTCGTGACCATAGGCGTAGACTACGGGGGGGGGGGGGGGTGCGGAGCCGGGTCCGGGCCATGATCCTTATTAAGACGCTGTTAACGTGCCCCCCTCCCTCCCGGGAAAATGGAAAGTCTACGCCGCTGCTCGTGACCTATATAAGAAGTAGTCTTCTGTAAGGTAGTGAATAGGGCGAGTTGGTAAACGTTATACATGATGAAAACCGCTCAAACGACGACGACGGTGTGAAGACAACAAACACGACAGGACGAAGCTGTTCTCGCAACTGAAGTTTTGTTAGTGAAATTAACAGAAAGAAAACATCGTAGCCGACACTGATTACATCAACAAACACCTACTTATCTATTAGGCACAACACACTATTTGGAGCTGAAACGGTTTACACACCGCTATTCATATTAGCTCGCAAAGAACAAACCTCTTTATTTGACAGAGCGAGGGACGGCGCACTGTCAGTTGTCTCTAGATTGTTGTCTTTTTTTTACCGGTGTACGATGTTCTGATTTTATACTTGCGGCTTCATATTATACAGAATGGGTGATTACTAATTTCTTAAGAATTAGTAAATATGCCCAATGAGCTTCAAGAATATTACAAAAACGAGGACATATTTATAATGAAGTGACGGTTGCGAATTGTGTTAAATTGCCACGTTTAACGCAAAATCCGCTAAGATAAAAGAAAAAAAAATCGATGAGCTTTTTTCCGCATCCGCTCAAAGGCTGGTGAGCTTTTCACCGCATCTACCGGTTTTGCGGTGAGCTTTTCTCCGGTGAGCTTATCTCCGGTGACCTTTTCTCCGGTGAGCTTTTCTCCGGTGAGCTTTTTCTCCACCGCCTGTACAGATGACAGTTCTAGAATATGCTCTAAACATTTCGACCGATCAAGGTTCTCGATGGTAAAACCGCATAAAGGAACCAGGGACATGGTGCGCACGTGCACACGAGGACTGCTGGAATCGAGGTCGCCGCCGCTCGCCACGGCCCGACGGGCAGAGTGGCCGCCCCATTAACAGACACGCCTCCGCTTGTGGCGCTGAATGCAGCACTCTCGGGGCGCCGCCTGGCCATTGCCGGCTGGCTATACGCAGACCACTGCGCTTTGTATCACACGATTAACTCCATCTCGGGATCATATTCTTCTGATAAATTCCTTTGCCAGCTTCTGCGAGTGGTGCAACACCTGGCAAATGTCAATAAATTTTCTCAAAATTGTTCTTCGTGTATGAGTGCTCCAGAGCTTCGTGTATGAAAGTGCTCCAAAGCTACAGTTTTCGGAGTAAAGGCCGAAAAACAATCACCTGCAGTATTTAGAGATTCAGTTGAAAACTCCGTCTAGTTTATGTTGGCAGTATGGCAAAACTACATTAAAACGATTCCTATCTTTTAATAGCTGTTATTGAAAAAAAAAAATGTGAAGCCTGTCACTGTCCAAAACCTCGTGAAGAGTGCTCTGAAGAAATGATGTTTGCATTCTATTAAGTTCTTGCTACAAAGCATTTTCGACCGTTTTGGTGCGGCTGGATCTCCGGAAGATTATGTTTTCAAACAGTTATTGTACCTTGTTTCCTTCAAAACGAAGCAAGTCAGGGGGCTTCCGAACCCACCAAACACGTAGTTCTTCCTTTTTTCCATCGCATCTTCGACAGTCTTAAATCAGTTGGCAACCGTTCTCGGCATAGTGGATGCACAGTGGACGCATGGGATGCAACCGGAGTAACGGGGAACGGAAAAGGGGGAAGGGGGATGGGGGTCTTGGTAAAATTAAGGGGTACATGACTGGGAGAGGGTACGGGAAAGCTGCAGGGAACACTTGCGGGTTAAAGGCAATAATGGGGTAATGGACACACTATTGGGTTTTGTGTATCTGAAAACCGGGAACGATGCAAGGGACGAAAATACACAGCACCTAATGTGTATATAAGGGGACATGAGAGAATTTGGCACAAAAAGGGGAATAAGTATCTTAGGGGACATGAATGCTCACTTCGAAGACTTTGATGGGTATACAGATACAACAGGGAGGATGTGAGACGAGTTTTGTCAAACCCTTGAACTGGTACTAGTTAACGCTAAGGTAAAATGTGATGGAAAAATAACGTGGGAAAGAAACAACTCGCACTCAACAATTGACTACTTTTTAATTCTCGGAAGCTATTCAACAAATTAGGACGTATGGAAATAGATGAGGAGGCCACGAAGAGCTTAGGATAATAAGATTACATTTTGGTACACTAAAAGCAGAAATACTCACTCAAAATCGAAAGGATGTCACTAATTTAGGTGATGTGCAAATGCAAGAAGCATGTAAGCGAATTGAGAATATATCCAAGCAACCAGAAAAAAAAAAAAAAAATGGACGTACGAGGATTTGGTTAGTATTTTCAAGGGGGAATTGGACAAATACCAAATTAAGCAAGGAGCACGAAGACTAAAACATGGACCGAAGAGTTGATGGGATAAAGAACTTAAGGCAGCCATAATGCGACGCCAATAGAGACATCTAGAGAACACAGATAGACAAAGAAAAGGGGGGCCGCACCAGCAGAAGTAGCATCTAGATGGGGGGACTTTCAGGAAAGAAAGAGGAGGGCTTTAGCATTAATCCAGGCCAAAATTGGGAAGGCAGGAGTGCAATGGGTGATCAAGATAAATTGGAATGATAGGAACGCTGCAAAAAGGTTCTGGGAACATTTTAAATCACAGGGGAAAAGAAGAGAGGGATGTCAACAGACACTGACCACACAGTGGGACAAGGGTAGAAGAGGAAGAGGCACGAGAATACATTAGATGTACGATAGAAGCAGCTTCTTCGGAACTGCAGCCAAATCAGACTTCAGGGGACGGTAACAACAGCATAGCACACGAAGAGGAGTATAGTGAAACAGCTGAGATGACCACAGGGGAACGGAATAAGACAGAAAGTAAGGTCCCGGCTGGAACTGCAACAGGCCCAGATGACATACCAATGAAACAGATTCAAATGTTAGGAAAATAAGCAAACTTGGATGTACCCAATGATTGGAAACAAAGCCGGATGAGACTATTATATAAAGGCAAGGGAGACAAATACAGTATCACGTCGTACTGAACAATCACTGTAACATCATTAATCTGCCAAATAGCTGTGCAGATTGTAAAAGGAAGAATGGGCAGAGGGCAAGCAGATACTAGGAGAGCTCCAAAATGGTTTCAGAAGAGGTAGAAGGCTGGAGGATAACTTATTCGTAATCACGCAGTGCATAGAGATAGCAACGACAACGCAAAGGTCGTTGCGGCTAGCATTTTTGGACATCAAAGGAGCACACGACAATGGGAATCAGACAAAACTCTGGGACCAAGTGAAAAGATATGAACGAAATGAAAAGTTCAGGAAGTTTTTAGAACATATACATGCGGATAAGAGGGTACAGTTATAACTTGAGAAGGCGAAACCACAAAACCAGCAGCGATGAAAAGAGGACACAGGGCTGCCCATTGTCTCCCATGCTCTTTATGATATGCCTTGGTGAAATGAAAATATATTAAAGCAATGGAATTTAGGATTTGATCTGACTTACACGGAGGGAGGGAAAAAAGTAAATCAAGTATTACCAGGGCAGATGTTTGCAGATGACATTGTACTTGTAGCAAAGAGTCGAGAGACAATGCAGGGACTAATTATAATTTGTGGCGGGGAAAGGGACACTTTAGTCCTAAACTTCAGTTTGGACAGGTCTGTGATACTTGTCTATAACGACGAGAAGGGGGAATCTCTGGAGATACAAGACACTGTGGTAGAACATGTAGAAAAGTACAAATATCTAAGTTTATGGTTAAATGAGGGAAGAAAATATCTGAATGAACATGAAGATATCCCAATAAAGAAGGGGAAAAGAAATTCGGCTATTATGAAACAGAAAGCACAGTGGAACTTTAATAAATACGAAGTTGTGAGGGGGTATGGAAAGGAGTAATGGTACCAGGGTTGACTTTCGGTTATGCAGTCTTGTGTATGAAATCCGAAGTGCAGTCAAGCTTAGGTAAAGCAAAGGAGTGTAGGCAGGGTAGCTTTAGGGGCACATGGTAACACACCAAATGAAGGGATACAAGGTTGTATGGGTTGGGCATTCTTTGAGAGCAGAGAGGCAACAAGTAAAGTTTGACCAAAGGTTAACTGATATGGAGCATATGAGGTGAGCAGCTAAGGTATATAAGTTCCTGTACACGAAAAGCTTGAACACAAATTGGACGAAACAAACTCGAAAGCTCGGAAACAAAGTTTTACAGGCGGGCAGTGAAATGAAATCAGTAGAAAAAAGAGTGCGGAGAGGAACAGATGTGAAAAAGAAGTATGCAGCAGAAATCAGCTTTAACTATATGTATAGGTTAGAAAAGCAGGAAATAAGAAAAGAAACTGTGTTGGATAATTCTCGGGGGAGCTCTTTACTGTTTAAGGCCAGGACTGGGGTACTAAGAACGAAGATTTATAGGGAAACATTCGAAGATCTAGATACTGTTTGTTGCATATGTGGAATGGAGAGCGAAACTTTGGAGCACCTGGTTTTGAGGTGCAAGAAGCTTAAACCTACCCTCTTCGAGGGGAGAACAGACGTAGAGGGGGCCGGGTTTTGGTGGAGAAGATATAAGGGTGGATTATAAAAGGGTTGAGGCAGTGATTCATACAAGAACCCCCCCCCCCCCCCCCCCCCACACCCCTCCGGCCAGAATTTTTTGTGCAAAGCACATACAAGGCTACATCCCCCTCCCCCACTCCCCTTACAGCCTCCCCCCAAAAAAGAAAATTGTGACCGCCCCCCAGGTTCAAAATTCTGGATAAACCCCTGGTGAGGTAACGAAGGTTGCAGCATTGGGGGAAGGAGACTAGGGAAAACTTAAATTGGTAAAAGCAACTAGCACAACTAGACACAGGGAGGACAAAGGAAAATTGGGACTCCCTCCCGTGGGGAGAAGGCGGGCGTGCGTTTTCCTTTTTCCTTTTTATTTTGTATTTGCCCGATTCCCCAATGGGCAGCGCGGTGGTTCTTTCCCCCGGCCCGGTGACAGTTACAGGGATATAAAAGGACAGAAATTGGGCGTTTAAGTGCGCAAGCCACCGCCCGTTACAAAGGGCATAGCCAATATCATCTATCCATCCATCCGTACGTGTTTTAGAATGATTTTAGGCTAAACAGATTGACGGCGCCGTTTGTTTCCGCGAAGACTTCATGTACAAAACAACACAGAGAAAAGGTTGTCAATTGTGTGTCGGGTGTAGTATACCTAATTCCCTTTGAGTGTGGCCTCTGTTACATTGGGTAAACCAAGCGTTGCCTCAATGACCGATTAAATAACCGAACACAAACGTTGCGTTACGAACAATGACCCCTACTCAGAATTATTAAAACATGCTATTGAGTGCAATAATTGTGTGAGGTTAGTAAAAGAGATTCTCACTATTATTAATCATGGTAATGCAGTAAATATTCCGTCCCTTAGTTTAGATGCATAGTTTAGAATATTTCTACAAATCTGATAGATTTTTTTTTATTTGGTGCGAGGTCACCCTCCAACCTAAATTTCGGCATGTTCCTTTGTTAGCCCTAGCCGTCTATCTATTTTTGTGTCATTTTTTTGTGTTTGTTTCGGTGTTTTGATATTCGAGGTTTTTGCCCACGGTCCTGTTGGTTTGTTCCGGAAAAGGGTGGATTTAGTTTGTTTTTTTCTTTTTTTTGTGTGTGTGTGTTTTATCCAGATGTTCGATCCGACCGATCCTTGAATACGGCTGCGCCATTTGGAACTCTCACAATAAATCTGATATTAACAAGGTTGAAGCTATCCCTAAGAAAGCCGTACGTTTTATCTGCCCCCGATATGACAGACGTTTCACCTTAGAATCTTTCTGCTTTAAACCTTACCTCACTTTCCGCACGTCGTGGCACCGAGTGCCTAAAAGTGAACAGTCTTGTTAACTCATCACGTTTCGCGCCATTAAGTATATGTGCATAAATTTTGCAAACACGTCTTCCTCAAGAAGCAACCACTACTTAAATATTTCAACTTTTCATCCACGTACAGGTTTGTTTAATTAATTCTTTTTTCTCCTCGTATCAATGAACTTTGGAATTCGTTGCCCCGTTAATGTCCGTTTTTTACCATGGCGTGATTTTTTGTCAGCCATTGATAACTATTGATCATGTATTGCATTCATTACTGTTTCTTCTTTCTTTTTTGTTTTGTACGATTATTTCTTCCACTCCTGCAATAGGTCCATCGGGGCTGCAGTATTTGAATACAAATAAATAACTATGTCATGTATTTAGATGATGAAATATCCTTTTTTGTAGCTGTGTGTGTGTGTTTGTTTCGATACAATGTTTACAGAAACCTTCGACTAGGTCGTTGCTGTGCGGTATATTACCGTAGGACTCAATAGCAGGACTCAATAGGACTTTAGCAAACAGTTGCCGTGCTCCACGTACCGCACTAGAGAAGCCTTTGAAGCATGCTTTTAAGCGCGCGCCCCCGCGGTCACTAGCACGGCAACGGTTTGCTAAGATGTCCCTAATAAGGACGATTTGGTAAAAGTCTTCTGTAAACATTGTAAATAAATAGTGGGTTTTAGTATTGCGTTTTCGATCGAACGCAAACACTGCGCGTTTGCGTTAGCGTTACGTGTTCCGCAGTGCGCGTGCGCGGAGTCCAAGCTGCGGTTTTGGATTGGTGCATGGCGACGACGCGCATGCGCGACGTGGATCACGCAACGCTAACACAAACACACAGCGCTTGCGTTTGCTTCTATAAATGCTATACTAAAACTACAATGAATGGTATAGATAACCGGTATCTAGAGGCGTAAAATTAGCGCTTTCCACACTTGGCACCACCACAGACGAATTTCTCGTGTTATATATTCAACACCAAATAATTTAACAACAAAATATGATTGAAAACTGATCTGTCGCCAAAGACCTGACGTTTTTGTCGCGTGATAACACGCATTGGTGAGAAATCCCTGGAATTTCTCCTTCGTGTGAATACCGCTTCCAGCCAGAATAACACACCCAGAGCAACAGGTACGAAGCACAATAAAAGATATTTTTTAACCCGAAATAAAATAAATTTTACCCCATTTTAAATTGCCCCCTTTACATAAACACGAAGCACCAAGGTAAGTTACCAAGTTAAGTTTTAAAACCGCCTCTTGCAATTTCGTATAAGATTAAACTGGTCGCCTACGCTAAGCCTCCAGAAAGTCCATCCGATCTGCACAATATTGGTGCGAAGTGGCATACCGTGGATGGCTTCTCGAAAGAACACTGAGATCGCTTGTGGCCTTCCTAAAGTGGTCAACTGTGTAATAAAAAACTGCAACTAAAAAAAAAAAGCCCAAAAATTAAAATAATTTTTTTTTTTTTTTAAGAAATGAATTACACGAGGGTATTTGCGGTACGGAAATCGTGGCAATGCTCTTAAATAACCATATTCTACGGTGACAGCGCAGAGAAACAATCACACACCAGATATTCAGAAAGACAAGCCTCACGCGCGAATATCTGGTGTGTGATTGTTTCTTTCTGAATATCTGGTGTGTGATTGTTTCTGTGCGCTGTCACCGTAGAATATGGTTCCCCAACTCGCCCAAGCATCCACCCTATCAAGTTACTTAAATAACCATATCCGCAGTTTGAGGGCAGCAAATATACGCCCGTTTCTTGAAAACAGCGTGAAACAAACAAATTACGGATGTTCTGATTTTCGTCCGCTTTTCGGGTGGTGTTTCGCACATGTGTTTCAGCCTAAACTATTCCCTTTCGAGGAGTTTCAGCTTCTCTGCGGTGTTCCCTGTCACCCAAATAAGTAAATGTTCAGTTATACACATAGGTGTTATTATCATCGGTGTTCATAGGTTCCATCCCAAAGGTTGGCTTCACCTTAATGATTAATCTCCCTCCTTCCCCGGATTGACTTCGATGTACTCACCTAAGAATCAGTGAGCAACTCTGAGTTGTCCACATTGGTGTTACTTTGACGCTCATTGAGCCAGTATGCGCGTCTGGATGTGAATGAACTGACTTTAAACTCCCAGCACAGTCGTGAACTTGAACGTGTTTATTGGTGCACAATACACCGAACAGATCGCAAACGCGTGGCAGAGAATGTCTCAAGCCCAGCCGTGTCCGGTAGCCATGGCATGAACTTTATAACTGAAAACAAATGCGTATAATTACAAAGTGCGCACGAGAAATGGTGATATCGAACAGTAGAAGAGATGCGAATGCTACGAAGCGCTCTTCATTTCTTTAGCGGATTGAAGTAAGTGTAGAAGTACGAAGATCTCGGTTGAACGTAGCCGCAGTCCGATAAATAGGTGCTGTAGTTGATGTTCCGGCAGACAGACCCCCAGACGGCCCTGTATTGAACAGACAAAAGGAACAAAAGGAAAAGGATAAACACAAGAATGCATCGGTGTGCACACGAGCAACTCACCATGCCCGGAATCCGTGCCTCTCATAGATCAGCCGAACGCACTCGATGTCATCCGTGAGGTCGTCATCTTCCAGATCTGTACGGGGATGAAAACGACAAAAACGAAATCAGTTTCCCCAGGATCCAGTCTACACGCCATACTCTGCGTGCCCGTGACCATTTCCCTAACGTACACTGGTTTCGATACGCCGTTTACAAACGAGTGTGCGCTCGCCCACACCGGGTGTGGGTACGGCGCATGCGCGGAAACCAGATTCGCATCAAGTGAAGCGCCTACGCACGCGCATCGGCGTGACGTCATAGCCGCCTTCCCCGAACGACCAGAATGAAATAACGTCACTACGCACCTCAATACAAAAGCGTCATTTTAACGCCGCCATGAAAAGGGAAAGGGAGGTGCATCCGTGAGCGCCTTTCGTTTTTCGATAGGCACGTGCGAATAGTGGATTTTTGAGTTTGAAGCTAATTCGAAATGAATAGTGTTTTTGGCCGAATAGTTTCGAATCGAATGAGAAAAAGCTTCTCCGAGTCTTTCACTACCGAGCACCGTGCTTACACGGAAATTCAGCTGAACTCATGAAGGTTGCTTCCAACCTTCCACTCGTCCACTTCTAAGCACAGTTAAATTGAATATATCTATAATTTTGAGCTGTGGCAAGTAAACGACAGATTGGTCGCAGCTATCCTGATTGAGGGGATTTATAAACCTCTTTGCTCTATGCAAATATTCTTTCTTCTATTTCAAATTTGACAAAAACAATAACAACAACAACACAACAACAACAAATACAAATGATGAACGCGGGCTGTCAAGACATCGCTGCCTAACATACAAGGTGTCACAAAAAAAAATAAAAAAAATTACACGTTTTTTTTTTATTTTTTTGCAAAAATAAACTAGGCATCGCCGAACGCTCATTCTCAGCCCAAAGGTAGCGCTAGAGGTCACAACCAGATGCCAAAGTTTCAGCCCGATCCGATGCTTTAACCAAAGTTATAAATGATTTCCTGAAAATTTCAATGGGAAAATGGCGGCCGACGGAGTTTTCGAATACATGGGGCTCTATGGGCACCAGAACCCGAAAACGGGCAAAAATGGGCTCCATTTTCCCATTGACATTTTCAGAAAATCACTTTCAACTTTTAAATAAGGTATCGGATCGGGCTAAAACTTCGGCATCTAGTTGTGACCTTTAGCACTACAGTGGGCGGAGAATGAGCGTTCGGCGATGCCTAGTTTATTTTTGCGGTAAAAAAAAACAACAACGTGTAAATATAATTTTTGTGACACCCTGTACTTTTGCATAATCGTGGCGGGTTAGCCCCTTTGAGTGCGCTTCTCGCCGAGCATTTGTGGGCTGCGGGGAAGCAATACCCACGAAGTCCGCGAGCTTTGCGGGTATTGCTTCTCCGCAGTGCGCAAGTGCTCGGCCAGAAGCGCACTCAACGGGGCTAACCCGCCGCGATGAACACTTTGAAAAGCACGAATATCGCGGTTCATCTCGAAACGAATATTGAATAGCGCATTACTCGACACTACTATTCGGAAATTCGAATACTCGCACAACACTATTATTTCATATCGGTGCTCACAAAAAACAAAGCTCGGCTTAAAATGTGGCTCGACGCACTGGGCACTGAGCGACTCGTTGTTTTCGGTGATAGTACACCCAGAAAGACAACGAGCGTCAGAACGGTGCACTTTTGGCCCACCTTGATTGGCTAGATCAGACCATAGCATGGGCTGCGGTCAGACTGAAAATGAAGCGGAGTTTAGAAACGATCAAATTCGGCAAGCACGTTTACTGTTTGCCCACTTTTCAATAAAAAAAGAAAAACACGTAAACAAACGATTGTTTTGTTTAGCGGGTGTTGGTGTGTATTCTGGTATTTCTGGTGATTCCTGGGTTCGGTCCATGCCCGGTTAGTTTCTATTTGGATGAGCGTCGTATCAGCGTGCGGTTGCGTAATCACTAATGCGTAATGCATGTTAAAGGACCTCAGGCTAGCAGTCGCTCTGGGCCGGATTATGTGATTATCTAAGCGTGAACCAGTGTCGTCATACCTCTGAAGTGCGGAGCGATCTCTCGCTGACTAAATATGCGACGCTTAGTGCGCTTAATACATATAGTTAGTTTTAAAACTAACTGGGCGTACATCAAGCACATCGAATAATCACGCTGTCAGAAAAAATGCCACAGAATCGTAGATTACCCGAACAATCGATCTGGCATTCATTCTTGGGTCCAGGTGGGCTGCACCAGTATCTGTCATTAATCTAAGAAGAGGAAAGCAAATACAAAATAAATCATTTAGAGTCAGACACTGTACGACCAACGTTGTCAATCTTACTGTCGGTATAGTACTTTCACAATATTTGTGCACCCCCCCTTTCCCCCCCCCCCCCCCTCTTAGATTCCCATAAAAAAATCGTTTAACTTTTGGAGCTAAGAATGCCGTGGAATATGCGGAATCGTTACGGCAATCTAATTATCCGCACTTTCTTTGGAAAAAGTTACACTTTGAAGGCACCCTAGTTCCGCCAATTAGGAGACAGAAGCCGTCCAAAGGCTGTCGTCGCTTCGGTCGGGTGCAAGACCAAGCGACGCAGTTTGTCCACGTGCCGCGGATACCGTGCGGATCGCGTGGGTGTGCTGCGGAAAAACGCACATAACAAAACCGTGTGGATCGTTTAGGACTCGCAAGTACAGTGGTTTGGGCACCGGCTAAGAGATGAGAGGAGCCTCCTCGCACCTCTTTCCACTTTAGCAGAGCTAACGCTGGAGAGGAGGTCACTTCCTCTCCAGCGTTAGTTCTGCTAAAGTGGAAAGAGGTGGGAGCAGCTTCCCCTGAACTCTGAACCTAACACCGACTTCAGTTAATCGTGGTGGTTGCCCTTGCGTTTGTTCCGGGATCATCATTATTCACGGCGGCGCGTTGAAGAGGAGCGTCCAGCTCAAGCGGAACATAACGGTCGAGCTAGGGTGACCAACTTCCTGCTAGCGAAATGCGGGACACGCTGACCAGGGGGGATAGGGAGGGGGGGGGGGGGAGGGAGAAAAGTGGGTTCGACGGTATTATCGCTACTGAGGAAAAAAAATATTAGAGAAAATTTATAAACACGCGCACACCACGTAATGTAGCTCTGCTAACACATTTCATATTCTGTGTTGTCCGAAAGCATATTATATACACCTGCAATCTGAATCGCGGCAAATAAGTTCGAATAATTTGCACTCCCAGTGATATATATTCTTTTAAGTTTTTATGCCAAATATGTTATTAAATGTGTCTAAGATGAAAACCTCAACATTGACTGCAGCAGAACTCAATGCATCAAACCAAAAGAAGAAACAGTAAATCTTTTTCGGCTTATTGTTTTCTGTCGTCGCTTACTTTTACCAACATGCTCTCACACAAATTTAGAACCCTATGATTTCGTTTTTTTTTGACAGTTGTAAGTTGCAAGCTTTTTCCGTCTTCACAAAAAAAAAAAAAAAAAATCTCAGCAATTGTTTTTGCATTAACACAGTTTCATTTGAAAATAATAATTTATTTTTCAGCTTTTGGTTATCAATTTTCTCTGGCAGTACTTATGCACCAAGGTGAAAGGCACAACGGCGCATGCGCGTCAGTGCTCCTGGAGGAACGACGATCGCTTCCCGCAATGCTAGGATAAAAAATGGCGTACCATTGGGATTCACACTATTACCTGCGACCTCCACGCTTCCCCGTGCCCCGTTGTTCGGCAGCGCTATGAGTTAAATTGCGAATTTTACGACAGCGTGAAATGCGGGACATCTTAAATATTTTTTGAATATTTTGCCGGGACGGGGGCATAAGAAGCCTTCAATACGGGGACAGTCCCGCGAAAAGTATTAGCATTTAATTCGGCTCAGGACAGCCGTGACGCCGCAGAAAGGCCAGTGGCCCACACCGAGGAAGCCACGGCGCTGCGTATACATAGCATTGTGAAGATGTCGTGAATATGGAGAGATGAATAAATGTTGGTGATGAAGGTGGAAAACGAAGCTTGCGCTGGACGGTAAAATGATGCCACTTTGACACTGTCCTATGGGAAAGCGTATGACAAATAGGTGTTTGCTGAAAAACTAAGCAGACAACCAAGGAGCCGTCTTAAATCTTGAGTAACCTGAAAAAGGCCGTGGTCGGCGCTGCCATCCCAGTTCATCCTTCCGACGGCGCTGCTGTTGAATCGGCTTTCATACTCGGCGATGCACACCCCTGCGCCATCATCACCCAATCAGGAAAAATGCAGCATAGGTAAAACATTACAATAAGAAAACAACAACAACAACAACTACAGTTCCGTTCGAAAATTATGTGAGCTCTAGTGCCGAATAGCGATGCACACGAAGCAAACGTTTAGAACCTTCAACATCTATTGGACCGTGGCAAACGGTGCGAGCGCATGCACTGAGCACGCGCAGTGGTTTCGTCGGTTTAAAAAACGGATCACTGGACGTGCCCCATGCTCACGATTGTACCGCATGGCAGCTCCGTTTTGGGGCTATAAGGAGTATTCACTGGCGGCCATAGCTGTGTGCGCGAATGCTGAGCGCGTGCTGATGGCGAGCTTCCACAGTTCTTTTGCAACGTGCATTCCACACCATTAGGATTTCCGGTCTTAGCAGCCTATTAATGTGGGCTCGTTCTGAGCGTGCGCTCTAGACAGCACCCACAAATATGGACGTCCAGTGAATACTCCCTATATATAGACACTCGGCGAAAAGGTCAACAAAACATTCGGCGGCCGCGAAAAAAAAAAAAAAAACGCACGATCGCGGCGCATTTACTGTGCGTGGTTGATTTAGTTGGCGATGGCAAACGGTAAAATGAGGACCGTGATGATGCGCTTACAGTTTCCAACCTGCTCCTTGGGGATCCCATGAACCTGCACGAGCTCTCGTGCCAGCTCGCATTTGTCGAAAACTTTGCCCCAGGAGCAGGGCAGAAGCACGCAGGACACGCTGAGTAACAGGTAGACGATCATCTCGGACCACTGCAACGAATCGGATGCACTGTTCTCTTTATAACTGGAGCGCACGACAGGTGACACAACTGGCCGGTGATTGTTCGTGTTTACTAATGAACCCGTTCGCATACGGACCAAAAGCTATATACGTGTCTGATGTTTCAATCGACGCCGCAGGACAGACGTCTGACCCCAAACCGCTTGACGACATACAGATCGCTCTACAACCGCGCCTCATTAGAAATCCGTCCCAAGCGCACGGGCACTGATCAGTATTACGACCTGCTCGCGGTTCTAGATGAGACTTCCTTCTTAGTTCGAAGATAACGGAACGCTGATCACAGCCTCGCCAAATCACTTAGCGGTTCAAAATATACGGCCTACAAATCTGCTACAACGACGTCTTGCATGCTTAACAGTGTCTGTGGTCAGTGGCTGTTTTCTTGTCATCCTGTCTATGATCCGAAGCTAGCAGTGCGGGTAGAAAGACCAGTAATGCGGCAATAATTACATGTTTTCAAGAGACAAAGATAAGACGTCACCTACATGCGTTGTTATGGTCACGTGGGAGTTCATCACATACACACACATTTATATATATATATATATATATATATATATATATATATATATATATATATATATATATATATATATATATATATATATATATATATCACGCTTGATCGTCGAACAGTGGTCCACCCACCTGACGAATCATCAAGCCCAAGGACGGTAAGTCCCCGTCTGATCAAATGCTTTGAAGCGTCGTCACCGCCTCGCTATTTAAACGTCCAGTCAACGGCTGAGATCCGGCCCCCTCCTCACCAAACACAAGCAAGCTCGTCAATAATCGCCCGTGCATCAGCCAGCCCACCTTTGTAGTGACGTGTCGCAGAGCCGTCCTGTACACATCTTCCACGAAGCGGCATGTCGTCGCTTCGGATGCACCGCGGTCGGTCATAGCACCCGGGCCCCGTTTGTTTAAAGCCATGGTGGCAACACGCGATGTTTGCCCACAAGGTTTGACACAATCGAGCAGCGTGAGGCGCGCCTGCGTCTTTGGCCCTGCAGCGTCTCTTTCGCAACGGATGATTCGTTGGGATTGCGAGGCACGTTCTGATTGCCGAGGAGTACCAGTCTATTCCTCCAAGGACACGCGATGCACGCAGTGTGCCAAGCGCCGTCGGCGAAGGTTAAGGTTGCCCCGGTGTCAGGGAAGCAGCCGTCAGGGTTATGCCCTAAAGATGGTTGTTCTCGCGTCGTCTTCCTTGGGAATAACCCTAGCCCCATTGCTCGGAGCGAAAACCGGCGCAAAACGAAAGACGTCTCTGCAATCGGAGTAATAGATGAAAGGGCAGATAGAACGAGTTGCAGAATGGTTAAACGAACAGCCGGTCTGGCACGGGAGCGGTAATTTGAGGTCGATCTAGACTCGATCAACTTGACTCTATCGGGCGAGGACAATCCGGAGGTCATTCGAAGCCTTGAAGCGGTTGTTACCGCCATACCATCGGACTATGGAGATAGCATGGCATAGGGAGCCTTTATGTGCGCTTTGCTAGGGTGATGCCACCCTTAGTAATACCACTCGCCGACAAACCAGCAGCCATTTTGGTCCTCGGCGATAATCCGTGAGCTTATAACCCTCCCGGAAACAAACACCTTATGTCACAAGTTCGGAGCAGCGTTGTGGAACCCACGGAGGGAGGATTAGCATTTCCCCCTTCGGATGCGAGGACCGATGGACACAAAGGCCACTTTCCGGCGCACGGGGAAAAAATGAGGAACAAAATGGCGGTGGACGAGGGTGTGGGAAAGGGAAGCAGGCAGTTGGCATCACCCTATGCGAAGCGCACATGAAGGCACCCTAGCATGGCAAAGTACACAGAGCACGGATACAGAACAGAGGGAATTTGCACGAATATTTCCAGAGTCCTCAGACAAGTTCGAAGAACAATCCATTTTTCCAAGTACGAGTCTTCGGCGTCTTCCATGTTGACAAATAAGCGAGCGAAAATGTAGTGTTTCTTTATTCCCGGAACGAACGCCGAAAAAGTATCAAGGCAGTTCTTTTCTTCTGTGTTTTATTATATTGGACGTTATTGAGCGAACAAGAACAGCAGGCTATATTTGAAGCTAGTGTTCAGTGGACAATCTCTTGCACTTTTTTTTTTGTTGCTCATTCAGAAATATTTGGTTCCCTCTGTGTGTTTTTGGCTGTACTAAACTGTCTCACATTTAAAACAAAAGCAAAATTTTGACCTCGAGTCTATGAAGGTTTTATTTACGCTTTCGACGGGAGCTTCGTATGTGCCTCAGGATCAGGGATGGGCAGTATTTCAAATACAAGTATTTAAAATACGTATTTTAGATACTTTGTGTATTTTGCATTTGTATTTAATTACAAATTGGATAATGTATTTGACGTGCGTATTTAAATACAAAAACGTGGGTATTTCAAATACAAATGTAATTAAATACAATTATGTGGGCGAAAATACACCCCTCAAATTTATTGTCAGTGTCCAGAGCAGGAAGAAAACTACGTTATGCGCCGAATGCAGTGCCTCTCAACCAAGCACAAGCCTTTAGTAACTTTGTGATTACGGTGCTAGTCCAGGGCAAGAATAGAGACAAAATCGACGTTCACAGGCAGACTGGCTAAATAAGTGCCTGTGACAACTTGTGATGCTTTCCAGCCTGATTTCCATCCATATTTTTGCCTGGATCATTCTAAATGCGCGGGTCGTTCAGATTTTCGTAACAGGTGCGAGTTGCAACACTAAAAAATCCTCTAGCTAGTGCTGCGCGTCTTGGTCGTGTCGGTTTTTGCTGGTATTTACCAATATGTAATCGAAAAAAAAAAAAGCTGCTTGAAGCTCTGTACTTTTTTCACCTATTACGTCCAACCTTAATATATAATATAATCACATTTTTTTTTGTGATTATATTTTTAGTACGTTACTAGAGCCTCGCACGCTAACTCCCGAGTGTGCGATGCAAAATTAAAATGAGATACCCAGAAACCCGTTGCCGGTGCCCTGAAGTCGCTGACGCAAATTTTGAGGAATGTATTTGGAAAAGTATTTGGAGGAGACCAAATACATTTGGCTGTATTTGTATCTTGTACTTAAATGCTTTTTTGGAAATGTAATTAGATTTGTAATTAAATACATTTTTGACGAAGTATTTTGTATTTGTATTTCGATATATATTTGCCTGTATTTTGCCCATCCCTGCTCAGGATGTATACTAAGCAGCCCCCGCGTGATAATCCCCATTCGTGTTCAGTTGCATTCGAAGCATCTCGAAGTCCATTTAACACGGATATCGAATTGACCAAATACATACTTTAATACGTAAATGTGTTGACACCTGACAGGCCGCCGTCGTTAATGAGGCTGAAACATAGCGTTAAAAGAAACAAGCACGTGAACATAATTATGCATATAAAATTTGCTCCGAGATCAGGTTGTCCACGTCGTTGCTTGTTCTTCACCCACCATCGTCTTATTGAGTATACAGTTGACGGAGTTCGGATACATACTGAGTTCAGCCAATATCGATCACCTAAAAAATATAAATATATATTTTGCAAGAAGACGTGGTACTTGCGGTGACCCTTGTCAGATAACCGAGAGCTCTGCGCCCCGATGCTAAAACGCCATGCTCCGCGAAACCTATTGGATTTTCAGCGTGTCCGAGCTTGCTCCACGCGAAGTTTCTCCTCTCCGCACCACTTTAAAGTATCTTTAGACCTTTCCAACGACGGACGTGTTTTTGGGCCTCGTGGAATGACCCAAGGTCAGATCAAATTCGCAAATATTGTGAAAACCAAACCTTTCATTTTGCTGTTATCGGTTGGATAATTAGGAAAAGGAAAATTGTAATGCTGTTTTCAGTTCAAGTCCGTAAATTTATGGCTTCGAAACAACTGTATTTGAATGCTTGTAAACAATACAATCCTGCAAAAAAACTCTTCTGCCAAAAAAAAAAAAACCAAAAAAAAAAACCGACTATTTCTGTATTAGTTTGGCTTTCAAGATATGACCAAACGGTCTTCCTGGAACTTGCTTCTTGAATTTTGACTACCAACTTTTGTACATGTTCGTCTTGTTCCTTTTGCTAAGACAACAAGATTAACTTACACGCATGCGGCACACAAACACGCACACACAGACTTTGCGAAAATAGAAAGCTAACCTATTCTTTCTGACATTTTATCGCAATTAATTAGATTCATCTTAGAGATGTTTCACGCATAGTTCTTAGCCGTAAGGTAGCGATTCGATTTTAATATAATAAAGTTGTTTTCGATTTTGTACAAAAATAAGTGAACAAGTGGACGTATTAGGAAACGACTTTAGGCTTGAAGAAGTAGTACACAATAGACCCCATTACACACAGGAAAACATTATCACTTTCAGTGAGGTCGTGTATAGTAAAGAAAGAAGAAACTAAAAAAAAAAAAAAAGACTCGTTCCCTTAAAAAAATAAAAATAAAAAAAAGATTGCGCATATTTACCTGTTTTTGGTAAACACCATAAGCCGACAACCAAACTTGTTTATCATTCGCCCCCTTAACCAATGGCAAGTGTCCAGTTTTTGTTCTAATTACGTTTTTTGCTTCTACGAAGTTTACGCGCTAGAGTTTCTCAACGCGAAAGTTGGCACGTTTGGATTGTGTTCTGCCGCCATTTGGTCTCCCGAAACATTTTGGTTGATATCTGTGTCGCCCCGCGTTAGCAGCACTCGATTTAAGAAAGGGTGTAGCCGTCCTGGAGCATGAGGATGGATGATGATTGAACTTACCCGATGCGCGTGTCTCCACGTCAAAGAAAAGACACCACGCGGAGCGATCGAAGGGCTCGGATGCTGGAGCAGCGTTATACGAGTCTGCGCCTTTCAAAGCTTTTTGTAGGTCTTAGCGAATCATTCAAGCGTAAGCGCGTATCCAGGACGATTTCACCGCGGAAGGGCTCGGGTAAACCAGCCACGAGAGGACAGAACGAGGGCACGGCAAATATGCAGCATACTCAATCCCGGATATGCGCGCATATAGACGCAAGGATGGTATAGCGCTTCGCGAAACAATCTATAAAACACAGCGCTGCGTTTAATAGACACGAGGACGTCATTTCTTCGTTTTTGTCGGGAGAGAGAATACCGTCGATCCAAAAACCATGGCAAGCCTTTATCGCCGTCTCAAACAGCCCCCATCTATCGGCTTCTGTCTGACACTAATTTGGGTAAACCTGCCCAAGCTCTTGCCACCCAGGGGCAACTCTCTCTCTGTGACAGGTGCGTCCTAAAACCGCTTCTGGATCCACTTCCCAGCAGATCATGTGGAGAGTAATCATGGCGAACAAGGAGGCCCAAAGAATGTTTTGAGTCGAAATTGCGACTTGGGCTGGGAGAATGGGCAATCGAAAGCTCATGTTCATTGTCCTCGTTGCATCTTTTCATCTAATTGTTTTCTGAGCTTCGCCATGCGATCCTTCTTTCTTTCGTCCTGATTGGCTGTCTCCGTGTTCTGCTGCAAAGTGAACCTACAGACGTTTTTGAGAGTGCAGGTGGCGTTTCCGATTCAAGATGCTCCCTGAATCCTGTTATTCGCTTTGCTCCGGTCTCTCTGTCTGGCTCTCCGCAGAAGTATTTTCCTGCGTACTATACCTGGAACTTGCATCCTCACCAGAAAGGCCATCTTTCTTAAATATTAGATGCTGTAACGTTTCCGAACTCTGACGAAGGACACCTTGTTTTGGCACGTACCGCATTTCAGTTTTCTTTCTTTCGGCATAATGTAATACACGTTTCGAAAAGAAAAAAAAAAATAAGGCGAGGAGGAAGGAACCAATAGAAACTGCAAAAAAACAAGCGTTGTTTCGCACTCTCGTGTCCTACTTGCACGCATCACGCTAAGTATTCCGGTGCTTTTGCCACAT